CACTCACTTGGAGGTTCATGTGCAAATTGGCATCACACACCAAACCCGCAACCGGGTGCCGCACAACCAACATAAGATGAGGATCACACAAGCCACAAGCAATCCACTAGAGTTGCCTTTGGCGTTCCACTGGGAAAGGTACACGAACCCCTCACAATCACAATGATTGGAGCCGAAGACAATCACCTTCCTCCGCTCGAGGATCCACCATTCACCGGGCCGTCTAGGTATCGGCAAACACCAAGAGTAACAAGATCTCCACCAACCCAAATCGCCCAACTAGTGCCACAAGATGCTAGAACACTAAGCAATACACTAGAGGCTCTCCTATCTCACTCAAGATGATGAAATCAAGTGTACAAGTGAGTAGAGTTGTGTGCTCAGCTCTCAAAGGGTGTATGCAGCTGTTAGAAGTGCCAAGAGAGTGGCCAAGGCCGGCCACTAGCTCTATTTATAAGCCCACAAGCAAATAGAGCCGTTACCCCTTTGGAGCAGCTTTTTGCGAGGGCACCGAACACGGCGGTGCCTGGCACCGGACATGGCGGTGCCCCTCCCATCGGTTACTTTCCAACGGCTAAAAACTAGCCGTTGGGGCACCGAACAGGGTGGCGATGGCAGTGCCCTTAGGGTGGCGGTGACCAACCAGCTTGCTACCCAACCCCCCCTTCTTTGGAAAAATATGGCGATGGCACCGCCCTACCAGTGGCGGTGACCAGGCGGTGCACATCGCCCCTTCCGCTGCCAGCCTCAGCTCTAGCCCTGCTCTGCCATGTCCAGGTGGGCACCGCCCTAGGGGTGGCGGTGCCTCCGGACACGGTGGCGGTGCCCCCAACCGAACACCTCACTCTCGGCCTCCTCAGCCGGTCACCGCCATAGGGGTGGCGGTGCCCCTGACAAAGGGTGGTGGTGCCCTTAGGGTAGCAACGCAAGCCCAACTACGTCTCCTTTTCTTCACCTTTTTCTCCACCTTTGCAAATGTGCTAATACTCCAAGTGTTTCACCATCACGTGCAAGTGTGTTAGCATTTTTCATAAACATTTTTCAAAGGTTAATCACTTCTCACCGAATGTGCACTAGGCCTAAAATGTAATGCAAGTATTTCAACACCTAGTGGCACTAGATGATTGAGTTGTTCGATAAGAGCTCCCCTCTTAATAGTACGACCATCTATCCTAAATGTGATCACACTCGCTAAGTGTCTCGATCACTAAACCAGAAAGCTCCTATTAAGTTTCACCTTTGCCTTGAGCTTTTTGTTTTTCTCCTTCTTCTTTTGCAAGTCCAAGCACTTGATCATCATGGTCACCACACCATCATCATGATCTTCACCATTGCTCCATCACTTGGAATAGTGCTACCTATCTTATGATCACTTTGATAAACTAGGTTAACACTTAGGGTTTCATCAATTCACCAAACTCAAACTAGAGCTTTTAATTTCCCCCTTTTTGGTAATTGATGACAACTCTTTCACAAAGATATGAATTGATATTCAATTGAATTCATGTTGTTTGCCCAAGTGTATTTACCATGTGTAAAAAGATACGGACAAGTTTCATGAACCGCAAATGGGAGCATTAGCTCCCCCTACATATGTGCTAAGAGTTTGGATTGAAGCTTACATATATGCATGGATTGTAAATATGGGAGGGTAATGTCTACCAAATGATGCTAAGGTATAATAGATGGACCTTTAAAGCGTGATATCAATCGAAGTGCACCAATATACCATCCTTAGCACCATTAGTAACTAGACATTCACAAAAGCTAGAATACCCCATGAGATCAACATTAGAAGTAAGGGTCTAGTTTTCATAATATAAACACAAGTCTAGTTACTCAACCTAAGCATGCTAGTTTTTTCATTTCATCATTCAAGCCTACAACTAGCATACACCACACAAGCATGGAATTTTCATTTAAAACTTGTGCCATGCAAGCAAATATATGAAATGCACATTCAAATGCATCAATCAAGTTTATAAGCTTGCCCCCCTACTTGTGTGCTCAAAATTTTAATTGATCCTTTTCCTTTGTCATGTTACTTTTCCTATATCAAAGTTCTCCCCTTTATTATCTTTTCACTATCTTTGTGCATTACTTCTCCCCCTTTGTCATCAATGACCACAAATGTTCAATTTTAGATAGGTTAAGATTATAAATGTCAATCAATGGGGTAAGGGTCATTTTCCAAAAATTGGTTCAATCTAGATCACTTGCCTAAGACATTTGACTCGGTTTGATCAAGGATAAGCTTCTTCACACCTCATTTCAAGGGTTATCTTGTAACATGTTGAGTTAAACACTTATAGCTCATTTTTTAGATAAACACTAGGTTCACAAGCCCACAAACATGTCATATGCTACTACTAGATCAAGTCAAGCATAGAAGCAATAGTGGTACTATATAAGCATTAAATTCATTTGATTTTCATGAATGAGCCTATAAGACATGAGGAATGACTCGATACACTAAACATGTCCTTAGCAAAGAATATATGCCATGCCAATCAACTTTTACCTTCGTTGCTCGAAGGAGAGGCATGTCATATAAGTGGGGGTGCATCAACACATATTTGAGAAATCCAATATGTTCAACTCATTCCTTAGCTTGCAAAACCTCTTCTCATCCAATGGCTTGGTGAATATGTCGGCAAGTTGATCTTCAGTGCCTATACTCTCAATACAAATGTTCCCTTTTTGTTGATGATCTCTAATGAAATAGTAGCGAACATCAATGTGCTTTGTTCTTGTATATTGAACCAGATTATTGGTTAGCTTGATTGCACTCACATTGTCACATAGCAATGGCACTTTCTTGAACTTGATTCCAAAGTCATTCAAGGTAGCCTTCATCCAAAGTATTTTTGCACAACAACTGCCAGCGGATATGTATTCGGCTTCGACGGTTGATAATGCAACATTATTTTGCTTCTTTATGACCATAAAACAAGTGATAATACATTTCATGATAAATCCAATAATACTTATTTGCTATCATAAACATTAATATTTTTTTTATAAATTTCATCAAATTTGAAATTGTTGGACCTAGAACAAACCTAAAACATTACTTATTTTTTGGACTGGAGAAAGATGAAAGTGTCGGGTTTCTTTTAGTCAAAACCGTGGTGAGAGTGCGGTTGTGGTTTGCGGATGAAATGTTTGGTGAGCCAATTTCACACATCTTACCATCCATATCAATTTGGATAAGAGATTGAGCCCTTGTTTAGTTTCACCTCAATTTCTAAAAAGTTGCTACAGTACCTGTCACATCGAATATTTGCGGCCCGTGCATGGAGCATTAAATGTAGACGAAAAGAAAAACTAATTGCACAGTTTGGTGGGAAATTGCGAGACGAACGTTTTGAGCCTAATTAGTCCATGTTTGAACACTATTTGCCAAATAAAAACAAATGTGCTACAGTAGCACCAAAATCCAAATTTCACAAACTAAACCAGGGCCTTGTTTAGATACTCTCAAAATTCCAAGTTTTTTCACTCTCTCTCCATCACATCAATTTTTAGCCGTATGTATGGAGCATTAAATGTAGGTAAAAAAATAACTAATTGTACAGTTTAGTTGGAAATCACGAGATGAATTTTTTGAGCTTAGTTGGTTCACGATTGGACAATATTTACCAAATAAGACGAAAGTGCTACTATTCATATGTTTGAAATTTTTTTCAATCTAAACAAGGCCCAGGGCTGACAGATAGTAGGAATAGTATCATACACGCATCTTTAGAATCAACTATGCACGCGCAGATGGAGTATTTAATCACCCTCTGTTGTCAAAACGTCTGGGCCAGACGTAGACCACCCGACACCCCGCCCGCACAGCATACTGTCATTGGCATTCCCAAAAAAATTTTTGGAGTGCTCCGTTTTAGAAGTCTCCGAAGGACCGCAGACTCGTAGCCGCAATGCTGCTGCTGCCGCCGGATGCCCATAGGAAAGCAGTAAAAAAGTCACCTAGGTCTTTGTTTAGATCATAAATTTTTGCAATCTCAACACTATAACATATTTTATTTATATTTAACAAACTTTGTCCGATCATGGACTAACTAGCCTCAAAAGATTTGTCTCGTGATTTATAACCAAACTATATAATTAGTTATTTTTTTTACCTATATTTAATGCTTCATACATGTAACAAAAATTGATGTGATGGAGAGAGATCGAAAAAACTTAGAATTTTAAGGCAGCTACTCACCATGCCCTCTTGTAACCCACGTCAGATCGAAGAAAACCACGGCCGCCCATCCCTGTCGCGCAGTCACCGCCTCACCAGACAACTCCGGCGGCTAGAAAAGATAACGACGTTGCGTTGCCGTCGGATTTTACTTTTCCCGTAAAGAAAAAGACAAGACGATTAGCATTAAAGTATTGTTGGCGATATGCTTAGCTATTCCAAAACCACAAGACAACACAATACCGTTCACAAGCAAGAACCGCATTAGCGCTAGTGAGTAGTGACCCAACTCTTTTTTTTAAGATTTAACCGTCTGCAGTACACAAACCGACAACCGTAATCAGACGCTAAGAGCGCCTACGCATTCATCACCGTCTGGCCGCCGGCAGGAGCAGCCAAAGCTGGCGAGCGTCTCGAACCCTCCTGAGGGCGAAAAGACGGGGGCCTCGTCGACGTCGCTGACCTCACCGGCGACGGCGACGCGACACCACATTCAATTCAACCGTTAAACTGAGCACCATCAGCGACGTCGCAAATGGCGATTAGCCATGACAAAAGAGCAAAACTTTATCGGGTCCGGGTAGATTACACATGACGCTGCATTACACCGGGGCGGGGCGGGGTAGTGATCTCATTTACACAGGTCTGCTGGTACTGATCTCGGAGGACTGATTAAACTAGCTACTACTAACTGATAATTTAACTAAACCGACCGCTAAAACCCAAGCCATGGTTCTTGGTCTGATACGGAGACGGACGGGGGAAGGGGCGCCGACGGCAAACCGGCGGATGGAGCGGAGCGAGCTCACATGACGGAGCAGGCGTTGGGGTTCTCGTCGCTGAACATCTGAGGCGCGTGGAGGTGGGAGGGGCCGTACCCGTAGGCCTGCGGGGGCGGGTAATGGACACCGGTGTTGGGGTAGAAGCCGGCGTGGTTGGGCGGCGGGGCGGCGCCGTAGTAGCCGCCGGGAGCCGGCGGGTACGCGCCATACCCGTAGTGCGGGGGCATCTGGTACATGCCGGCGTCGGCCAGGGGCATCGGCGCCACCGACGCGGAGGCGGCCGCGGCCTTGTCCTTCTTCTCCTCGCCCCCGCCGTCCTTCTTCTCTCCCCCGTCTCCTGCGCCCTTGTCCTTCTTGTCGCCGCCGCCGTCCTTCTTGCCCGGCGCGACGACCTCGACGTCCCGGCTGAGCTTCTCCCTGAGGTAAGCTGGCAGAGCGGTGGCGTCCATGGTGCCGGTCACCTTCACCAGGTCCTTGGCGGTGTCGAACGCCACAGCCTTCACGCCTGGAACGGAATCAATCAACGCACAAAATTGTCAGGTCCAGTCCAATATTAAATCTCGACGAAAAGGCTCACAGCCTTTTGACGATTCGCTTGGGATGGGATGGGAACAAAACCGCGGCGGATACGAAGGAAAACCTCACCTTTGATCTTGGAGATGCGGCGCTTGATGCGGTCGATGCAGCCGTCGCAGTGCAGCCGGATCTTGAGCGTCACCGTCTCCTGGAAAAAGGCAGAGAAAGTCTTTCAGTTGCAGACCAAGGACAATGAGGCAGACGGTGACGAGGGTCGCCGCCCCACCGGACTCGAATAATAATCGGCAAGTAACTGACCTCCTTGGGCTTCTTCTCCTCCTTGGGCTTGTCGGCGCCCTTCTCCTTGTCGGCTTTCTTCTCGCCACCGCCGCCGCCTCCCTTCTCCTTGTCGGCCTTCTTCTCGCCGCCGCCCTTCTCCTTGTCAGCCTTCTTCTCTCCGTCGCCGCCACCCTTCTCCTTGTCTGCCTTCTTCTCGCCGCCGTCCGCTTTCTTTTCCTTTTCCTTCTCCTTCTCCTTGTCCTTCTTGGGCGGGCCGGCGCCGGCGGAGACGATCTGGACGGGCTTCTTTGCCCTGGCCTCGATGCGCTCCTTGAGCTCCACCGCGTCCGCCGGACCGGTCACGACCACCTTGCCCGCCGCCATGTCCGGCGTCACCGACTCCACACCTGCACGCGCGGCCGGCCACAGAGCAATCGAACGCACGGTCAGAAACAAGAAACAACCCCCACCCACCGCATGAGGACTGCGTATGTAACCACCGGTAATCCGGAGCGCAGGCGCACCTGGGGCGTGCTTGATGGCCTTGCGGACCTTGCTGGCGCAGCCGGCGCAATGCAAGTCGACCTTTAGCACGATGGGCTGCGGCGCGGCCGCGGCGCCGGCGTCCTTCTTCTTGTCGCCGCCGCCGCCGTCCTTGCCCGCCTTCTTCTCCTCTCCCATGGCGGCCGGCCTTTGTCTCCTCGACCTGTCTCTGTCCCCGCTGTGGCGGGTGGTTAGGAGGGCTCTCAGCTCGGAGTTCGAGGTGGAGGCTGGGGCGTTCTGGGACGGAGAGGGGCGAGTGCCCGGGTGGGGGCGGCGTTAAATAGGCGGCGGGACCGGGCTGGCGGGCGGGCTGCGGGGGTGGGTGTGCCGTGTGCGCGCACACGCGCAGTGATGGCTGGCGGAGGGGCTGCTGCGGCCTGCGGCGCGGTGCTGCCAAGCTGCTGACCGCGGACCCGGCTGGCAGGTCGCTGCAGTGGATGGGGACGTGTCTACCGCAGGGTTTCCTTGGCCGTGCCGTTTAATAACGGAAGTAGGAGGGAGTGTTCCGCATGGAATTGAAGTCCTTTTTAATGGCATGGATTTTGTATCGGAGAGTAATAACTGAGTACAGCAGTAGCATACCGATTTTTTTATATATATGGTAAAATAAACAGCTGTTCACTTTAATGGTAGCAACAAACAAACGAGTAAAAAAAAATGTCTAAGTGACATTCAGTTGTTTTGGTCTCTCATGTCAACTGATTTTTTCTTATATACTTACACCGTCTTCTAGCTATATTTACATAATCTTATTACTATATTTACAATGATTTCTTCAGTGTGATTTATTGGACAGAGTGATGTAAGTTAGGAATAACACAAATATATGTCAAATTTTTTTAAAAAAAAATTACAAATTATTTCTACGAATTCCAGACATCAAAGAAATATATGTCAAATTATTCATAAATTCTTCGCAAATTTCTAAAAAAAATACAAAATCTTCACAAAATTTCAAATTGCCGTGCCACGCTGCCGCCACCGACGCCGACACCGGGGAAGGCGTAGCGTCCGGCCTGGCTGGTACTGCGAGATATGGTACTGCCACATCTGCTGTTGCTGCTGCTGCGGCGGCTACGTCGGCATGAGTTGCTGCAGTTGCTTTATCATCATCGCCGACGAGGTCGCGGCGGGGAGGCCGACGCGCGGGCCGTACCCCGGGCTGCACACATGTTGTGGCATCTGCGAGTCCACCCAGAGACGAGACAAAATGTGATCGATCAGATCCAACACTCGAAGGGCGGGGGCGGCGTGACGCAGGCGGTAGATCGGGTGGCAGCTCTCGGGCCGGAATCAGATCCAATGCTGAAAAATTCGGTTGACGGTGGCAAATAAATCATACGTTTGACTTATAGCATTTCCAAAAAAAATTGTGACATTTGCCACCGAGCACAGAGACGAAAAAGGCTATGAATATGATGACGCCTGTGCCTATGCCTGTGATTGTGCGGTGCCGTAGCGCACACGTTTGCAGCCCGATCGGCTGGGGCTGGCTGGGTGGGCTGGCTGGCCAGCCCCCCACATGGATACTAATCACAAGAATTAATCAATAGTACTTCTCTCTCACATAAATAAAACAACAACGATACAAACCAGCCAACCAATCGGCTGTTAGTCATGCGGCTGTGGCATGGCCGTTCGCTTGCTTCCCGGAACGGCCCCGCCCCGGCAAGCCACCTCTGCTGCCGGCCGCCGGTTTCAGTTTTCCTCCGGGCGCCCGTGGAGTGTGAGTGGTGACCGGGGCGGGTGGAGGGAGGCCACCGCCGGTACGGCGCCCACGTGTGCCCCACCTGCGCTGGCTCCGTACGTGCCGCGCGGCCCGGCGCGGACCGAGCCCCGAGGATTTTTCAAACGTGGGTTGGCGCTCGCCGCGCTGCTGCTGCGCGGAATCCTCGCGCCGCGGCAGCCGCCGGACGGGCTCTCCGGTTGGCACGGGCTGGGCCTCCCGGCCTGACATGTGGGCTCCTGCTGCCGCTTTGATTTTAAAAGAGTTCCTTTGTTTTCTTCAAATAGCATCGTGATCTTATTTTTGTTCTCCAACTTCTGTGTCATCCTGAACTCTTCAAACTATTTAAACTACCTCCCTGCCCTGTTTGTATTGATTTTAAGAGTGTTTTCGCCCTTTTTAGTTAAAAAACAGTAAATATTTGATATGGTTTTTTAACCATGAAAAAAGTTTATTAGAATAAGAAAACTAAATGAAATATTTAAAAATCATAAAAATATTTCTAGAAGCTTTAAAAAAGGACTTAGCTCTAGAAAAATCTATGAAACAAAATAACCATTGTGCAACTCGGGCTCACACTCTGCAACGAGTATGGGAGCTCCCTCTCGTCGTCGACGACCACGGACGTTCGTTCGAGCTGGCATGGGAGGTGACCCTCTCGGACTTCGACGCCCGCAATGACCGCCGTGCATCGGAGTTGTCACATTCCAGCGGTCACAAGGTGTTAGCTTCGACCAGGCGTGCAGACGCAGCGTGAGCTCCGTGGCATTCGGGGCCAAGGTCACCATCGTCCTGTCAGCGATGCCGCAGCGCAACGAGCTCACTTGGGCGGCGTTAGGCGTCGCATACGACTGTACATGGTGAAGATGCTCACAGGCGGGTAGGCGCTGCCGAAGACATGGCATGAGTTCATGGCTCAGGTGGAGGCTCTCCTTGTTAGATTTAATGTGTGTTTGACCCATATTTTATTTAATAATTAAATCAAAGATAATGTGGGCTTGACCTATATTTTATTTAATAATTAAATCAAATAAATTATAAGCTCATATTAGATGCTAGGTGCAATAAAATGGTGGACTGAATGTAGTTGATGGCTGAACTTCGTAACGGTCATAGTTATGGCTGCGGTTACTAGTAACTCCTATAGTAACCCTCTTGTTTATGGCAGAGGTTACTAGTAATTCATGAGCATTTCATGACGTCCAAGTTCATCCTCTCTACACTTCACCTTCCACCTTTCGCGTCTATAAGAAAGGCGTGCTCGTCTTCAGCCGCGAAAACGAGACAACAAATCCAGCACCATCGTTCTTCTGTTGAGTTGCTCCTGAGTTTCCCCGTCCTAATCCTCTACGTGCACAGAGAGTTGGGAGGGCAGGCCTCCAGAATCGCCATCCGCATAGCGACACCTGCTCGAGTGTGTGGCCAAGCAGGTTTTTGGGGAGCGTCTCCACGACTGCTCACTTCCTCCTGGTGACTGCCGACGTCTTCTTCTTCATCCTCGGATCGTCTACTTCCCAGTGGATGTTCGAGGGACTACAGTGCGAACATCGTCCTGCATCGACTGTGGTCTGCGACATCGAGCAACGCACTATATTGACTAGTGGGCGTGGAGCCGCCGGTGCTTTGAGCATGGGTCCCTCCGCTGGGTATAATTGTATTCTTGAATTTGTAAAATTTAATATCTTTTCCGCTATGATATGTATGTCGTTCATGTTCATATCTTCTACTAGTGCAAATAGTGATATCACACACGTGCACATACATGTTGTCACCAATTTGCTATGTTTTTTCTAGATTAAATTAAACATGAAAATGACTAAATTCCTAACAGGTTCAGTAGCAACGAACTATTTTGCGTGGCGATATAATCTATGGCAACGAAATACTATGCGTGGCAAATGGTCCTATTGCCATAGTATGGCTTGTGTGGCAATACCGTCTTTTGCAACAAAACAATATGGTGGGAATATAGGTTATTGCCACGACATTGATCGCGTCAAATGTCTATAGTGCCACGACATTGATCGTTGCATGTACAAGCTCCTTGCAACGGAGACAGAAATGGCAATTGCTTATATTGCCACGACCATGAACGTTACAACAACATCATATTGCTACGTTTGGCAATGAACATCTATGGTTGCAATAAGCCCCAGCAGTTACAACGCCAAACTAGCAAACGTCGCAATACCTTATTGCAATGCGACTTATTGCATCCATTGACAACGAACGCGATTTGGTTGCAACATGTACCTTTCGCAACCAAATTGGGTCTATTGCAACGTTTTCTCGTCGTTGGGCAAGGGTCCAAATTTAGTAGACCAAGGACTGGTTGACCAGAGACTTAGGGCTCATATGGACTTACTTGCTAGCAACATGAGCAAGGTGCTCTTGGCCCCTGAGGCTAGTGTCATACAGCTCACCTCCCTCCGATGAGAATCGAACAAGCCAACACAAGGGGTCATGGAGGCCTTCGACATAAATGAATATGGGAACAACCTGTATTTCTACATATGACAACAAAGACCTCAACAAGAGCTTATGTATATGACAGCAAAGACCGCTTGAGCTACCGTCACACCCCAAAATTTCTATTTTGGGATGTGACTAGAAAACACAAAAAACAAAACAAAAGATTTTTACTATGTTCTAAAATTTCCAACTTTACTTTAGTTGTTGACAATTTAGATAGTGAAAGATGTGAGTTTCTATTTTTTTTTAAAAATATTTAATGGCTTGTTCCATTTCATTCCTCTGCATAGTGTTTATGTTTGGAAAATGAATTTAAATTATTTTTTAAATGCGTCCAACGTTTGACCTAAGCCATATCTTCCAAAAGTCCAATGTAAAGTCTTTGAAATCCTGGTTCGTGGAAAACCCAAATCAAGGTTTCAAAAATCTTAATCGTGTATTTGCACCGAATATCATCTCTTCTCTATATCAGAGGACCAAAGCTAGTGTCAAAACTAGTCATGGCGTTCGAAACCATGATCAAATCCTTGGAAACCATACACGCTGGTTCTTGTTCCAAAAACTTTGACAGGTCTTCATACTTTCATCTTGCTTAAGCCCTAGCTCGACCCTCTATCTCTTTTCTCCTAATTTACGAGCTCTTAATTCTTTCCGATGAGTCTTCTCCAAAGCCCTAAATCAATGCTAGATGACCTATCATCACATGTTGTGCATGCATGTTAATCTCAATTTTGGGAAGCCCATCTTGACACGCTCCCGCCTTTTCTTTTCAAGCCGGCCTAAACATATCTCCAATTGGGCTAAGCCCATATCAACCCATGGCGGCCCTAACTTTGTTCTCTTTTCATAATGGACTCTCCACCTTTTCTCCTGTTGATCAAAGTTCACAAACCAAAAAGTCCTCAGTGACTAGCCCCATAACTCAATTTTCACTAACAGG